TCTTCCGTGGGAAAACAAAGGCGATGCCAAGCTGCCCAGTGGAGTTTACGGCGATCATCAGAGGAGTCCCAGAGGAAGAAGTTGAAACACCTATCGAGAGAAAGGATAACGTTCTGGGGAGGGGGGGTTTAAGAACCTGAAGGCAGTAGAAGGGGATGGCGGTGAGGGAAGATTTTATAAGCTCTAGGCGGCCACCAATGGAAAGGATATGGTGGTTCTATGAGCTAATGCGACTGATTTTGAAGAGATGGTCATTATACAGTGCTCGAATCTGGTTTCCCTTCCAAAGAGGAGCTCCCAAGTATTGGATGGGAAGTTTGGCTTGAGAGAAGCCGGTTAAGCTGCAAATGCGCTCAACAAGGTGGGGGGGAGGGGTTATGGAGAACGAAACGAATTTTTTCGGGACTGATTTTTTGTCCAGAGACATTTTCAAACTGTTTGAGAGTGTGAGAAAGGAGGTGGAGATTGCGATGAGATGCTTGGGAGAAGACGAGAACATCATCCGCGTAGATGAGATGAGAATCGTGGGCCTGTTTGCGTTGAGCAAAATACATGTTTGGATTGGAGTTGAAAGTTTGGTTGAGGTTTCTAGACAGGTAGTCAGTTGCCAGAACGAAAAGAATGGGGGATAGGGGGTCTCCCTGGCGAATTCCTCTTTGGGAGCGGAAGAAGCCAGCTGGGGTCCCATTAATCAGGATAGAGAACCTACATTCGGATATGCAATTTTTGATGAGGAGGATGAAGTTGGGGGAAAAGATAGATAGAGAGAGAGAGAGAGAGAGAGAGAGAGAGAGAGAGAATCTGGTAAAGAAAATTCCAATTCAGCCAATCGAAGGCTTTCTCCAAATCTATTTTGATCATTAGGTTAGAGGAGGAGGCGGGGAAGTCGTGGACGACCTCTTGAGCAGTCAGAATATTGTCGGTGATGAGTTTGCCTTTGATGAAGGCCGATTGTTCGGGGAAAATCAAAGTGGGGAGGAGGCGGCTGAGTCTAAGGCTTAGCATTTTGGAGAGGATCTTGTAAGAGGTGTTGCAGAGACTGATGTAACGAAAATCTTTCCAAGAGTGAGGAGATGGAGTTTTGGGGATAAAGGATACGGTGGTGGCGGTGTTGGCTAAAGGGAGGGGGTGCCTTGAAAGAAGTTAGAGGCCGCTTCCAAGACGTCGTCTGTAATAATGTCCCAACAAGTTTTATAGAAGGTGGAGTTGAACCCATCTGGGCCGGCAACACTATTGTCGTCCATGTCGAAGACCGCCAACTTGATTTCGTCGATGGTAGGGAGAGAACAGAGGAATGAGTTGTCATCTTCAGAGACAATTGAGGGGATGATCCCTGGGTCGGGGTCCTCTAGAATGGGAGTGGAATCAGAGAAGAGAAAGGAGAAGAATTCAACGGCGGATTTTTGAATCAGGGAGGGATCCGAAATTAGGGAGCCTTGGTCAATAATATTGTGAATGGTGGATTTATGATGATGCTTTTTGACCAGGTCATGAAAGAATTGGGTGTTGCGTTCACCTTCCAAGTTCCACTTGAGGTTAGTTTTCTGTTTCCAAAATCTTTCTCCATGGAGAGGGTGAGGTTTAAGATAGCATTGAGACGCTTGAGATTGAGGATGTTGGAAGGAGAGGGGTCAAGATCGAAAAGGTTCTCAGCTTCAGAGGCTTCAGACTGGGCTTGGGCGACGCGGGCGAAAATGTACCCAAAGGTGGTCCTCTTCCAGGATTGGAGAGCACGCTTAAGCCTGGAAAGCTTATGGAGAAGCTTGTTGAGGCCGAAAGAAGGGGATGGGATGAACCATGTCTTTGACTACCTGGAAAAAAAGGTGGTGCCGAGTCCTCATATTCTGAAAACGGAAGGAGGATTTAGGTTTGCAGAAAGAGGGCTAAATTTACAGAGCAAAGCGTTATGATCGGACTGGTGACGAGAGAGTTTCATGACGTAGGAGGAAGGGAAGGAGGAGAACCACAAGGGGGAGAAAAGAATCCGGTCAAGTCTCTGCCAGATAGAGTTTCTGTACCAGGTGAAAGGAGGTCCCGAGTAGCCACCGTCCGAGAGATGACAGTCTAGGAGGGCGTCCTGGAAATCCTCCAATTTTGATTGAATTCGAGAGGCTAACCTTTCTTTTCGTGCAGGTAAAGCACAATGTTGAAATCGCTTCCGACCATCCAAAGAAGAGAATGGTCAGCGACATCGAGAAGGTCGGCCTAAAGATCTTGGCGGGGGAGATGGGTGTGTTCTCCATAGACGATGGAAATAAGGAATGGAGTGGGAGACAGAGGTGAAGAAACTTTAACGTGAAGAAGTTGACGGGAAGAGTGAAGAATTTGAATTTGGCAATTATGGTCACATAAGAGCCAAATGTGATTACTAGTGTTTTGGACGACTTGTTGGAAGTTAAACAATCTACAGAAATATTGGGGGTCGAGGGAAATCTTCGGTTCGATGAAGGCAAGAAGGTTAGGTTTGTGGTCTTTAATGAGAGTTTTGGTCATCTTTTTGGCGAGGCTATTATCGATGCCTCGTATGTTCCAAATAATAGTATTAATCATTTATTGCGAGTGTGACGTGTGCTACGACGCACATTAGGTTTCTTC